GCTAACACAGTTACCTTCCAGCTACATGCTACAGTCATAGAAGCATTAGATGATGTTTCCTCTGAAAAACAATGCTGGAAGTCATTGTTATGTTTCTACATGTCTCTCTGTTCATTCATTTTTTGGGCTGTTTTGTCATTTTGATTTCCTGTAGGCTATCTTGTTTTTCAGGCAAAATATTTTTATTAATTTCCATTTTTTGCACTGCATGTCTTTATTTTCTATTATCTTCCAGTGACCAGTTTCTTAAGATTAACTATGAAAGTAACTCAGCTGTAACTCATGTCTCTCTCTGCACCACATTTGAAGCTCAGGGAGAATTTTGGCTGTTATTTAAACCCTGTCCTGTCTGACACTCAGCTCCTGACAAACTGCTGCTGCAGTTTAACAAAGAGCCTAAATTACAGAGTGTGAGACATGAGCTCCGCCTGCTTCCTACCAGCTCAGCGGCTCAGCAACATGCAGCCGGCGCTGCGGGGAAGAAGAGGCAGTGTTTTATTTTAACACAAAGGAACATCAGAGTTCAGAGAGTGTGGCCTATACTTCCACTGCTATCAGACCAGTGCTGTTGTGTCTGTATTTAAACTTTACTGTTGTTTATTAATCACTTCTACTGCAGCTGTTTGTCGATCAACCAGTGATTCATATTTAAAAAAAGGTGGTTGTCTAAGTAACATTCTCACAAACGTTGAAGTGAAACAGAACAGGAAGTAAAGGCCCCAGAGCTGCTGTGTGACGTTCTGCACCATCGTGAACGTCCATCATCAGTGTGTTATCCAGCAGTGAGTCTCAGACTAATGAACAATCAGTCGGAACTTTGAGATTCAAACAAACCTTAAATCAAAAACCTGCCAGAAAATGTGGCGATCTGATATGGAGGAGCAAGTAGAAGCACAGAGGACTAAGAGCAGGCACAACCACAGAGGATAAAGAACAGGTAGAACCACAGAGGATAAAGAACAGGTAGAACCACAGAGGATTAAGAGCAGGTAGAACCACAGAGGATAAAGAACAGGTAGAACCACAGAGGATAAAGACCAGGTAGAACCACAGAGAATTAAGAGCAGGTAGAACCACAGAGGGTAAAGAACAGGTAGAACCAGAGAGGATAAAGACCAGGTAGAACCACAGAGGATAAAGAACAGGCACAACCACAGAGGATAAAGAGCAGGTAGAACCACAGAGGATAAAGGACAGGTACAACCACAGAGGATAAAGACCAGGTAGAACCACAGAGGATTAAGAGCAGGTAGAACCACAAAGACCCACTCATCCCTTGTTGCTGAATAATTCACAGCAGCAGGTTTTAATAATTGATGGAATAACATGACAGGAGCGACTGCTGTCTCCTGTGGGAGAGACAGAGGATGAATAAATGAGTGAATGAATGAAAGAGTGAACTCATGATGATGTGACGGGAGGATCAGGAGCTACCTGTTTTCATCTCTCTTGTCACTTTGACTATAATAAAACATCAACAAAATGATTTGTAAAGAAGTACAGATATCTTCAGCTGTAATATCATTACAGACTTTTATGATAAAAGGGTGGAGAATTAATCCAATGAATGAACATATTATCCTAAAAGGTTTTCTTAAAAGCATCTCAGACCCCCCTGAACCCCAACAGATCTGGTCCTGTCCAGTGTTGACTCCATGATCCCAGGTAAAGGTCATCTTTGAAGACAGTTTGACTGTTTAAGGACAACAAACTGTGAAGAAGACTGAAAGTCTACAACTGTCCTCTCCTCCACCCTCAGACATGTCACTCAGACACTACTCTCAGACATGTCCTCTCCTTCACCCTCAGACACACCCTTTCCTGCACCCTCACACGTCCTCTCTCCTACCCTTAGAGATGTCCTCCTCTTTACCCTTCACCCTCAAACACGTCATCTCCACCACCCTAAGACATGTCGCCTACTCTGCCCTGAGACATGTCCTCACTTCCATCCTCAAACATGTCTTCTCCTCCACCCTCAAATATGTCTTCTTCTGTACCCTCGGACATGTCCTTTCCTCCACCTTCAAACATGTCCTCTCTCCTACCCTTAGATATGTCCTCTTCTTCACCTTCAACCCTCATTCATGTTGTCTCCTCCACCCTAAGACATGTCGTCTCCTCTGCTCTGAGACATGTCCTCTCATCCACCCTCAAACACGTCCTCTAATTCACCCTCTCATGTCTTCTCCACCCTCCCCACCCCCTCCAACCTCATGTCCCTTTCTTCACCTGTAGACATTTCTTCTCCTCCACCCTCAGACATGTCCTCTCCTCCGCCCTCATAGATGTCCTCCCTTCCACCCTCTGTCCTTTCCCCTATCCTCAGACATATCCTTTCCTCCACCCTTTGACATGTCCTCAACTCCGCCCTCAGACATTTCCTCTTCTCCACCATCATACATGTTGTCTCCTTCACCCTCAAACATGTCCTCCCCTCCACCCTCAGACATTTCCTCTCCTCCACCCTCAAACATGTCCTAACTTCCACCCTCAGACATGTCCTTTCCCCCACCCTTTGACATGTCCTCTTTTCCACCCTCAGACATGTCCTCTCCTCTGTCCTAAGACATGTCCTGACCTCCACCCTCAAACATGTCCTCTCCTCCACCCTCACAGATATGCCCTCAGCTCCACCCTCAGATATTTCCTCTTCTCCACCCTCAGACATTTCCTATCTTGTGTCCTAAGACATGTTCTTTCCTCCACCCTCAGGCATGTCCTATCTCATGCCCTTAGACATGTCCTCTCCTCCACCCTCAGACATGTCCTCTCTTCCACCCTCAGACATGTCCTCTCCTCCATCCTCAGACATTTCCTATCTCGTGCCCTAAGACATGTTCTTTTCTCCACCCTCAGGCATGTCCTATCTCGTGCCCCCAGACATGTCCTCTCCTCCACCCTCAGACATGTTCTCTCCTCCACCCTCAGACATGTCCTTTCCCCCACCCTTTGACATGTCCTCTTTTCCACCCTCAGACATGTCCTCTCCTCTGTCCTAAGACATGTCCTGACCTCCACCCTGAAACATGTCCTCTCCTCCACCCTCACATATGCCCTCGGCTCCACCCTCAGATATTTGCTCTTCTCCACCCTCAGACATTTCCTATCTTGTGTCCTAAGACATGTTCTTTCCTCCACCCTCAGGCATGTCCTATCTCGTGCCCTTAGACATGTCCTCTCCTCCACCCTCAGACATGTCCTCTCTTCCACCCTCAGACATGTCCTCTCCTCCATCCTCAGACATTTCCTATCTCGTGCCCTAAGACATGTTCTTTCCTCCACCCTCAGGCATGTCCTATCTCATGCCCTTAGACATGTCCTCTCCTCCACCCTCAGACACGTCCTCTCCTCCACCCTCAGACATGTCCTTTCCCCCACCCTTTGACATGTCCTCTTTTCCACCCTCGGACATGTCCTCTCCTCTGTCCTAAGACATGTCCTGACCTCCACCCCCAAACATGTCCTCTCCTCCACCCTCAGACATGCCCTCGGCTCCACCCTCAGATATTTCCTCTTCTCCACCCTCAGACATGTCCTATCTTGTGCCCTTAGACATGTTCTTTCCTCCACCCTCAGACATGTCCTCTCCTCCACCCTCAGACATGTTCTTTCCTCCACCCTCAGACATGTCCTCTCCTCCACCCTCAGACATGTCCTCTCCTCCACCCTCAGACATGTTCTTTCCTCCACCCTCAGACATGTCCTCTCCTCCACCCTCAGACATGTCCTCTCCTCCACCCTCAGACATGTTCTTTCCTCCACCCTCAGACATGTCCTCTCCTCCACCCTCAGACATGTCCTCTCCTCCACCCTCAGACATGCCCTCGGCTCCACCCTCAGATATTTCCTCTTCTCCACCCTCAGACATGTCCTATCTTGTGCCCTTAGACATGTTCTTTCCTCCACCCTCAGACATGTCCTCTCCTCCACCCTCAGACATGTTCTTTCCTCCACCCTCAGACATGTCCTCTCCTCCACCCTCAGACATGTCCTCTCCTCCACCCTCAGACATGTTCTTTCCTCCACCCTCAGACATGTCCTCTCTTCCACCCTCAGACATGTCCTCTCCTCCACCCTCAGACATTCACCTTCCTGCCCTGATGAACACAGTCAGGTGACCCACAGGTGGAGGCTGCCTGCTTCTCCTGTTAGCCTCTGAACAGCTGACTGAATTGACTGACATCATTAACTGGTGCAAACTGGACACAGAAACATCCACCCCTGAGTTTATGTGTCATCATGTAGGAAAACAGATCTGTGTTTCACACCTGCTGCATCATTACATGATTTTACAGACCTGTCATATAAAGACACAGTGACTGATAAAGACCTGTTTCATTGAACCAAATAAACTCTGCCTCAGCTCATTTAACCACAAGTTAAAATCCTTCGCTGCCTCTGATGTTTCTCTGCTTCACACAAACATGTGACACTGCTGACGCCCACAGCCTTCACATCTGATCAGCCCTAATATCTGATTATTAGTGAATCATCTTACCTGTGTGAATGTTCCTGACAGGAGCTGCTGTGTTCTCCACCTTCTTCCTAACAGCTAATAATCGAAGGTTAACTCCTGCCGTTGGCTACTTAACCTGGCAGTCGTCATGGAAACACAGTTAAACACACCCATTCAGAGGACGGGGTGTGTGATGTCATGTCGACAGAGGTGAGGAGGAAAGGTGTGAAGGCTGAAGAGGTGGAGGTGTCGGCTGTCTGGTTGGAGGTGGGATGATGTGTCGCCGTGCTTTGTGCTCCATGATATCTGATACAGTGTGTGTGTGTGTGTGTGTGTGTGTGTGTGTGTGTTTAACCTTTTAAAGGATAATTCCACTTTACTACTGTCTGGGTCTCATACTTTTAGTTTGGTCATTGTTCTTGTCATCTTTACATAAACCTTCAGATGAAGTCTAAACGCTGCTCTGTGTATGTTTGTGTGTGTGTGTGAGATGAAGATGATGGTGGAGGAGTGTGAGGAGGCTGCAGGAAGCTGGACTCACCTCTCTTGATGTGTTTGAGTTGTCTCTCAGCCTCGTCTCTCTCCTCCGTCAGTCTGTTGCACTGCAGGGACGGACAGACAGACAGACAGACAGACAGACAGACAGACAGCAGGTCATTAGATCAGGACACTGACACCAACACACAGTACAGTTACACCCACTCAGTCTGCTGTGTGTTTACACACTGAGCTGTCACACAGCACCAGTTTTTTAAACACAATATAACCCTGAATATATTTATTAATATTTTAAACTGACAGATGTGAGAGAAAACACATCTGATCATTTGTGCTGACAAATAAACCATCCAGTTAATAATGTGTGCATGAATAAGTGCTTCCTCTCATTAAAAATTCATACTGTCAACTCAAATTACTTCATTCATTCATTCATTCATTCTCTCATCCTCACATTAATTGTGTTGAGTTATTGTACAAATAAAAACTGACAAATAAATATTCACATCTTTTACTCAAGTGAAAATAAAAGTACCACAGTTTAAAAATACTCCACTACAAGTAAAAGACCTGCAGTAAAAATCTCATTAAAATAAAAATACACATATAGCATCAAATTGTGCTTTAAATATCAAAGTAAAAGTACCTGTATACAGTATAAGGGTACTTTTACTTTGATATTTAAAGCATAATTTCAGCGTGCTATACATGTATTTCATATTATTGGAATATTATCACAATGCATCCATGTGAGCAGTGCATAAAAGCTGAAAAGACAGTTATGTTTATGGTGTTTGAATCAGACAAATCAAATTTTGTCCATAAAGGGAGTATGATTGAGCCTTAATATGACCCACGGCAACGTTTCCTAAAGTAGCACAACACAAAAACAACATTTATGACCATTAACAGCAGCAGTTTTATAATGTGGTTTACACTGTGAAAGTGTTGCAGTCTGGTTAGCTTTAGGAAAAGATGGTTTGGGTTAAAATAAGTACTTTTGTTTTGTAGCCTACAACTGACGTAGATACGTACATATGTGATGAGAGTTAAGTACGTTATATACACAAAGTGAATAAATGAAACATTGACTTTAAATATATCAAAACTGACTTTTGGTTTCACACATTGCAGAATTAAAAGAGGCATGTAACACAAAAGCATCAGCCTCTAGTGTGACTTATAATGTACGCGTCGGCAGCATTTTATAAACAGTGACTATGGCATTGACATGTCAGTAACATAGACTGTATAAAAATATGGACATTGTCACCGTGACGTCACCCATTGGTTTTTGAGGAGCTGGTTTGAAGCTCAAAGTAGCAGCTTTGGCTGTTGCCATCTTGGCAGTGCCTGACTCCGCCCAACTCCCGGCCAATCAAAAATGGGCAAAGAGGCGGGCCAAATGAAGCCTGGTTGCCTAAACACGCCCATCTTGCTCGAAGCTGCTAAGTTAGCTAAGGTTAACAAGCTAGGCTACTTTGGCTAGCCCTGTGGTGTTGGCTGCTCCCGCTTGGTGCCAGCTCCCTCATGAAACAAAATATCCAAAAGGCACAAACACGGCTGAGAGGTCAGGTTTAATGATTTGCGAATTAGCTGAGATGAGGCCTAGCACATAGCCAGCGGCTAGTTAGCCACCTGTGATGGCGCCCCCTGTCACTCCAAGTGACCACGCCCTTAATTATGCACAATTTTAAGCCTTAATAAAATTTAAATGGATGAGTTAAAAAAAAATTCACCCCCCGTACAGTTGTCATGAAAGGGGAAATTAGCTATAGAGACCAAAATCGTTTTTTGTACCAGGCTGTAAATAGGTTTATTTCTGCTGTAAATTTGAGCATTTTAACATGGTGGTACTATAGAGTGTGCCAGGGCTGACGTCAAAACCCGGAAGTTTAGCTTTGCGCTGGTTCCCGGAAGAGAAAGTGAATGTGATTTTTGCATTGCGTTTTGGGTTATGTCAGAAAATAAGCTCTGTGGCTAAAACAAGTTTATGATACTTACAGGTTTTGTTCAGCGAGATAATCTTCACATATGAACACCTTTCATACCGCATTTGAAGCTTAAATGCGATCGCCAGAAGTAAAAAGCTAACGTTAGGCTTTAACGGACTACGTGACTACTCCACGGTCACATGACTCTTGACGTCACCGCCACTAAGCTTTCAACTGATTTCGGCCGCTTTATTTTAAAAACATTGTATAATGGGGAAATCGGACTGTTTAAGCTAAATAAGAAGCTGTAATGGCGGACTGCCAGCACTCTCGCCTGTTTGGGGGTGATGACGTTTACTGTCCCCGACAGGGTTTGTAGTCGTATAGAGCAACTTGTTAGCAACCGCCTTTTTTACAACACGTAAAAGCTTCAAATTTCACAAGTAGGGTATTTACTGACGTGTTTTATGTTGTAGAACAAAACCTGAAACTTGCTTAAGCTTTTGTTAACCACAGACCTTATTTGAGGCATTTTACCAAAATCCCATTCAAAAAACGTGCTGACTTTTAGACGAGAGAACCGGAAGTGCTAAAAGTGCTAATGGAGTTCCGGGTTTACTGGCACACTCTATGGGGATTGACTCACTTTTGGAGCCTGCCTCAAGTGGTCAGTGCAGTTTTTGGCACATCTGCATTGGCTTCACTCGTCATCCCAGGAGGTTGCTGCTTGGTCAATAACAATAATTTATCTTCCCTGTTATTTGGTAACTGACACATTTTCAGCTGCTGTTCTTCTTTGAGTTAGCCACTAACTGCTATCAGCTACTTTTTAAGTCTCCTTGCAGTGGATCACATGCATAACACGTGATCAAAACGTCACACTCGTGCAGCCCATGATCTTTCCTGCCGGCTGTCCCGTTCATACAAACACTGTGTAGGTGACATATCTACCTCTGTACCATTCCGTGTCTGTTCCTTTTTCACACAAAAGTGAAGCAACATAACAGCGAAATATTCTCGCCTTGAACATGCAGTGTAAATGGGAGCTATAGACTGTAGGGATGCCTCACAGACAGTCTGACACTCAAGCAGCCCGCCTTTAAATATGCATAACTTTGGGCCTCAATAAAATGTAACTGAGTACGTTATATAAAAATTCAGCCCGTGTACAGTCGTCATGAATATTGAAATTAGCTACAGAGACAAAAACTGTTTCTGTACCAGGCTGTAAACATGTTTATTTCTCCTATTAAGTCGAACATTTCAATATGGGGGTCTACGGGGATTGCCTCACTCTTGGAGCCAGCCTCAAGTGGACATTAGAGGAACTGCAGTTTTTGGCACTTATGCGCTGGCTTCATTTTTAGCCTCGGAGGTTGCTGCTTGGTACAGACGAGCTTTGTGGTCATATCTTGAGGCAGGACAGTCTCTGAATAACATAGTGAACTTTAACAAAATATTGTTTATCCTTTTAAATATCTAAAAAAAAAATTATTTAACCTCAGAGATGATTTGATTCTGACTTACACAGATCTATAAACTGCTGCTGTGCTGCTCTGGATGCACCTTTACAGTGTTATAAATGGAAACCAGCCTCCGTCTATCTCCTCTGACATCTTCAAATGTTCCAGAGACAGGAGATTTGGAAATCTTATCAGCTAACATTTCTGTCTCAGGAGACTCAGAACCATGTTCCCCATATAAACACTCATTTAGCCTGCTCCTCCTCCTCTGCCCTTCTCCATCCAGGTCTTCACTTTACCTCCGACAGCCCATCACCTCTGATAACAGACTGACTCTCTGCTCCCGCTGCCCTACAAAAGGCAAACAGGCTGTAACTGCTTATTTTCACAGCCACAGGATCTGATATAAGTATCCCTTGTTGTGCTAAATTTAGGGTGAGCAGCTGTGGAGGAGACCGTTTGGATGTTGGAGGATGAAACTTGGTGACAGCAGCTGCAGACGTCAGTGAGGTTAAACAACGCTGAAGGACAAACTGGAGGCTATGCTTTCACTCCTTGTTTGTATACTGTCTGCCCAATTATAAATAAATGTCTTTAAAATAAAAAAAACAACTCCTTTGATCAAAACAAAACCCAATTCACCTCCACTTCATTTTGTCTTTCAAAAGTGACCCACATTTAGATTTCAGGTGTCCAGGTGTCTATCTTCACTACATTTTCTCAGAGACAGTTTCTGCTCATCCCTAACCTTCACTTGGATAAATGTTTTCCTTACAATTCCTCTACCGTCTCAGCTCAGGTTAACCAGGGAACGATCTCATCTGATTTGAGTTACTGCCTCTTTTCTTCATAGGACAGAGATGTACAGAGTCCCGCTGAGTGACCACAGTCAACAGCAGAGTATCCGCAGTGCTGCTGTTCTCTGCACACGCTTCATTTACGATGATAATTGGAACTCGTAAAGCATCCAGTGACCTCCTGTAGCAAAACTAACAGTCAACAAAGACAAGAGTCCCTTTGGGTTTAAGAAGAGAACTCACTGCATGTACAGTCATTCATTACATACAGTATATGTACTGTATATCTCCAAGTTTATGTTAATCAGTTCTAGTTATCTGAACTGGAGGTTCATCGAAATTATACCAATAATGTCAAAGTTTTGTCTTCCTACCTCTGAGTGAACCTCTGCAGTGATGTTAAATATAAGATGATAGTCAGTATGTTTACATGACGTTGAAGAAAATTGATTTGTTGTGTTAGTCAATCCTACTAAATCGAATTTCTCAAAGTGTGTCTAACACACCCAGATAATGCGATTAGGGAGTAGAATTCCTCCTGCATGTATACAGTCAGTCAGACCCAAACTGGCAGAGGCGCTCTGCACATGCACCACAGTTTCCACCTCAGGTTTTGACCTCCCCTCCAAGAGTCGCCACTGTAACGTGGTGTAGGGGTTTGCATATCCCTGTGATCCTGGGAGCTGTGTTGTCTGGGGCAAATAACCCCTGGTAGGGTCTTCCAAGGCAAAGTGGTCCCAAAGGACGGGCCAGTCTAAGAGCAACCTCGATGAAACAGCACATTCAGGAGAAGACTACCTCGCCCAGTATGGAGACACCAGGGCCGCCTTCTGGAGCCAGACCTGGGTTGCGCTCACCAGTGAGCATCTGTTGGCCGGACCTTGAGTCATGGGACCCGGTCGGGCTCAGC